GGCGCTGGCACAGATCCGCTTTACGCTAAACTCTAAACGCTGCCTTAGAGAATTTAGCAATCCTGGTTTAGTTGAGTGTACAGAATATCGCGGTTACTATCTAACGCAAAAATATACAAATTTAATTTTGGTTAATATTGCCACTTTCCAACGTCTCCAAATTCTCCTTTCCCCATTGTCTCAGTAGAAATTAATCCTGAGCACTTTTCGGTGGGCCTACCAGAAACAGCGACATCGATATCTTACAGAACTTACTCGGAACCAGCTGTGGTAACGTTGTTGATGGAAATTCCCGAGTAGCAAGCAATCGGCTCTTCTGGTGGAGCGATCGGAATGGTGGTGTTAATGTTGGTGCCTTGTACGTTGCAATTATCCGTGTTACAGCAACATCCTGACAGATCTCGATCTACGTAAATCTGAGCGCAAGTGTTTGTCAAATTTGCCATGCTAAAAATATGTTTTTTTTGTCTTTTTTGGATAACTTAGCAACTAGTTCTTACTCGCAGAAGCTCGTCGGGAAACAGTTGTAGGTGGTGAAATTGTACCCTCCGGCTTGCGTTGATATCGAACCGCAAGATCCATCACAGAAAACCTAATTTTAAGAGAAATTTGAAAATTTTGACATTTTTTTCGCAATGTTTCTTACTTCTGTTCCAATCGATGTGTTGTTATAGGTGGTGACAATACCTACATAGCACCTTAGCCGTCCATTAGCAGCCTGAAGAACCATTTTAAAGGTGATAAATGATCAAAATTCAAAGCCCTTACGTCATTGAGATCTCTGGACATAAGGTAGCCGACATTGCGATCTAGTGCGTAGCAAGCGGTGGCTACCAGAGCCAGGTATACACCCAAGTGCATCTGAAAACGAGTGGTTACGGTACCCGACAATGAAGCCGGGAGCTGCGACAAGGCACTGTAACAATGGGGTGTGATAAGAGCTGCTTAGGACAGTTGTAACTCCTTCTTTCTTGGTGATAAGGCAGTGTAATTAAGCCAATAGCTGATAAGGATCACTCAAAGAACAGAAGAATCATTTCAGTACCACTGGTAGGTCTATAGCTTATACAGGGTGTCCCAAAAAAATGTGCACACT